CACCTCAAAGTCAAGGCCACAACACCGCTCACCTGCTCTTCCGACCTAACCGAGGCCTGAACGTTTCCTGCACTCACAACTTCAGCTTCGTTTCCTGCTTTCGAAACCGTTATTGCTTTCGGCTTCGTTTCCTGCGTCGTCTCCTTCTGACTTCATCTCCTGCACTCACGACTTCGTCTCCTTCCCTCACGGCTTCGTCTCTTTCCCTCACGGCTTCGCCTCCAGTTTGCCTTTCAATTCTCATAGGAAGCCCTAATCCTATACGCGAATACGCGAACACGAATCAGCTACGTCGTATTTACATATATACCAAAGAAAAAATTTAAAAGCGGTGCCTCGTACTGCCTCGAGGCGTTACACTCTGATGCGTACGTCTCGTGCGAAAAAATCGTAGGCTTCGCTGGATGGTTTGAGGTGTAAGCCCCGATACGCATGACTTCCGCCTCGACTTGAGGCGCGACTTAATGCGGACGCCTCGTCCGCTTTTTTAATGGTTGCATGAAAGATTAACAATAATACTTAGATACCTAAAAGAGAATCCCAAATGGGGTTCATTCATTAAGAGAAGGGAATCTATAATTATAGAAGCATATACTAGTGCTAATTAAGTTTGTCTATATTTGATAGAAAAAACACATCTGGGCACTGTACACATGTGAGGCCTTGTAACCTAAAGAATAAAAAAAATATTGTGAAAAGTAGTGTTGAAGTAGAATTTAGATCCTTGACCAATGGGATTAGTAAATTAATTTAGTTTAAGCTACTCCTAGAAAAACTTTGAGTGAATATCAAAGCTCCTATGATAGAATATTGTGACAATAAGGTTGCTACCATTATAGCATACAATTATGTTCATCATGATCAGACCAAATATGGTGAAGATGATTGACACTTTATTAAAGAAAAAATTTATAAGAAAATCTATATGTTTTATATATTAACTAAAAGCAACTATTGACATTCTCACCAAGGGATTGAAAAAACCCCTATTTGAGAAAATAATTAGCAAGCTAGACTTACATGATATCTTAAATCTTGCTTAAAGGGAGATAAAAACAAAAGTGACTGATCGACTACAATACTTGCTTAGTCCAAAGAAGATACTAGTTCCCTGTGTGTGGACAACAGGCCTTCTTAAGTGGTATTTCTTGTATAGTAAAAGCTGGCGGCCTTCTCCCTATAAGTTTAATCCTACTGGTTGGAATAAAGAATAGTAGGAGGTTGGCGGCCATTCCTATGTTGCTAATTCCTTCAGCCACTCAAACCTTGCCACCTTGTAGTTTCAGATTTTATGGAAAGCAACTAATGTGATGCAATGGGTTGATTTTGAGGGATTCTAGCTATTATGTTTAGTAGTTTTTATTTCAAAAACCTGATATAATATTTAAATTTCTTTTATTACTAGGATCTAGTTATTCACTGTTTTACAACTCCGTAAATCTCTTCCACTTTTTTTTTTCTTTTAAAAATGTTATACATTTATAACAAACTTAAAAATAGCAAGACTGACAGAACTAGAACACATTAAAAAAACAATAGAAAGTTTACCAAATGAACAAGAACTGAAATAATTTTCTATAGCTGCCCCCCCATGTCTTGTTGATAGAGAACTCACCTCCTTGGGGAGAGTTGCTAGAGGCTTGTAGAACTCAGGGGAGTGCATGAATGGTATGTCAATAAGATCAAGCTTAAATATCTTATTTTGGCATTTAAAAGCCTTGTCACAAGCTAAAAAGAAATGCCACACAAGCAAATACTTAAGTTGCTGATATTTATAAATTTGCGCACGCTATAGAAACAAAGGCTAGTTTTTTAAAATGTGAAAGTACGACAAATGGTCATGCTACTGACATAATGTATGGATTTTTTTTTATATTTACTTATGTTATATTTTGACATAATGTATGGATAACTTTAAATTATATCTTGAGTTTGTCTTTAAGATACATTTTATTAGAATAATAAAAATATATGGCTATAAAGTACAATATAAAGACACCATCAAACGAAATTGTACCTGATAGATGCCAAAGAGAAAAATTATTGACGTTCTTGCAATCTGCAATATTCAAACTGTGCAAGTAACGAAATGCACTCAGGTAAACCATCCACTCAGCATCCACACAACTCTCACCTCTCAAATCAACCTCATTGACACAAAACTGGAAAATTCTGCAAATGCAATGCCCACTAGTTTGAGAGATTTAATCAATAGAACAAAACTTGCTCAAGAAATCTTCAGAATACAATTTATCAACACAGAAAAAAAATTACATATTTCCAATCAATAGATGCAACAATGCTGAAAAAGAAAAAAAATATAACCGATGAATGAATATAGAACTGAAATATTACACATGAAAAGTGCTACCTTTGCAATTCATCTAATTTGTTTATAAAAGAATCACTAATAAATGAATATAGAACTGAAATATCATATATGAAATGTGCTAAATTTGCATTCATCTAATAGGTTTATAAAATATTGCATATTTAATGTTTAAGTCAGAATTTGATTTCAAGAAAAAAACTGAAAAATAATTCTTAAAACTACAAAAATCTAAAATGACCACTAATGGTCGATTACTATAGAAAAGATTCAGATAGAAGGTTAAGAAATGCAAGTTCAACCAAATCTAAACCCAAATTCACTATGTGCTCCCACCGGCATCAAACACCATTCTCACAAAGAAATTGAACAAATGCACATTACTCTTTTCCAACATCCTTAAGGCTGGCTATCATATCTCTTGAATCATCAAATATGTAAGTTATCCCATTGAAAACGTCCATAATATAAACAGATCAATGCATTTTTGGTAACAATGAGAACTAAACACCAACCATTCCTTATATTTTTTCCCAAATTGAAGAGAAGTACATAAATGAAATGAAAGTCAAACAATTTGTGCGTTGATTATGAATCTACAACCACTGATTAGAGCTTTTTCAACTTTCCTTTTATTTTTATTTTATTGTTTTATAGGGAGGTTTACATGGCACAAAAACTTACAATTTATATATCTATCACCCAAATCCTTCTATTGACATAAATAGCGCCGAAAACAAGAATTTTGTTAGGCCAGCTCAACCTGAACCGGCCTAGCCGGCCCAAAGGCCAGCTCAAGTTTACAGGAGGCGAACAAGTGCCGCCTCCTTTACCTCTTGCCGCCCACACTAGTGTGCCCCACTAGGAGTAAATTGATGAGAGAGGGTTGGGCGGCTAGGGTGAAAGAAAAAATTTGAATTAGGGAATTAATGTATTAATAGTATGGCTTGTTTAGGGTTAGGGTTATGCATGCTTTGAGTTGTTCTCTTTGAGTTTTCTTTGGTGTCTTGGGCTCTAGATTCATCGTCTAGAGATTGGGAGAGAACAATCCTCCTCTCGAGTTGAGGATCAATTATATCTTTCTTTGGGTTTGCTTTTGCTTTGATTCTATTATTACAATCTATCGTTTTGGATTGATTTCATCAAGATCTTCGTATTATTTACACTGTTTTTATCAATTATTGCTAGGGTTGCTTGCGAACTCAAGTATTTCCTATCAAATTGGTATCAAAGCGTTATCTTGGGACCATCGGCGGCTGAAATTTTGAAATTTCAGCGGAGAAAGCTCATCTGAAAGAAGATATTCTCGTAAATATTGGGAAGAAGGATGGCTGGGAAAAAAGTTGAAGTCTTGGAAGGTGAAATTGGGCAAATAAAATCATAATTGGAGGAAAAATTTTCTAATTTTCAAAATCAAATTTCATCCAATAATGAAAAGATGGAAGGGAAGTTCGCCTTGATGGAACTGATGTTGAAGAAATTACAAGACGTGAAGATCAATCCGGCGACAACAGAAGCAAGGGAGACCACCGGGGGTCATGGGAGAGGAGGGAATCTGAACCCGTTTAGGGGGCGGGAAAATCCGGAAGTAGAGATCCTTAGGGGAGAGGACGGCATACCACCTCTAGAACCACTTTCTAGAGACGAGATGAGTATGGGCTACGAAAAGAGCAGTGCTGATTTGGTGGGGAAAATGGGATATTTCTACCACTAAGGTGCTGATTTTGAAAGAAGAAGAGGGGAATTTAATGAAGGGTGTTGTTATGATCGTCAGAGGGAAGATCGTGACAACTGGGGAGCACCTCCTTTTCATGGAATGGGAGAATATGGAGGATTCAGGGGCAATGGGGGTGACCCAAAGGTGAGGAAGGTGAGGAAGCTGAAGAAGCCCATCTTCGAGGGTGATGATGGCCATGGTTGGATCTATAAGGTGGACCGATATTTCTCCGTCAACGGATTGACAGAGGAAGAGAAGCTGACAGCAGGAGGATTATGCTTGGAGGGGATGGCATTGGCTTGGTACCAATGGCGAGACATGAGGCAACCCATCAAAAGCTGGAGGGAGTTTAAGGAGTGCTTACTAGAACATTTATGAATCGGTAATAGAGGAGACTTCTATGACCAATTCTTTGCCTTAACACAGAAGGTGACCGTGGCAGATTACCATGACAAGTTCGGGTACTTGGCCAATAGATTGGATCAGCTCTCTGAGACAGTGCTGGAGCGGACCTGTGAAGGATCAGTGTGAGAGAAGAGGGAGACATTTCTCTAGTAGTGCAACCAGTCATACAACAATTCAGTGAGATGTTCCAGTCACCTCAAGGTTTACCACCACTCAGAAAGCAGGAGCATGCAATCCTGCTAAAGAGGGGATGTCATTGATTAGTGTACGACCCTACCACTATCCCAAAATTTAGAAGGATGATATTGAGAAGCTAATTAGGGAGATCTTGAAGGCTGAAATCATCAGACCAAGTGTGAGTCATTTCTCTAGTCCAATCTTACAGGTCAAAAAGGATGAGAGCTGGAGGTTTTGTGTGGATTACATTGCGTTGAATAAAGAGACTGTACCGGATAAATTCCCCATTCCTGTGATTAACGAGCTCTTGGATGAACTATATGGAGCAGTGATATTCACCAAAATGGATTTGAAGTCTAGATACCACAGATCCGAATGAGGGAGGAAGATATTTCAAAGACACCTTTCAGGACACATGGGGCATTATGAGTTTCTAATTATGCCGTTTGGGCTTACCAACGCCCCTTCAGTCGTTGATAAATAGGGTGTTCAACCTGAATCGGCCCAGCCGGCCCAAAGGCCGGCTCAGGTTTACAGGAGGCGGGCAAGTGCCGCCTCCTTTTCCTCTTGTCGCCCACACTAGTGGGCCCACTAGGAGTAAATTGATGAGAGAGGGTTGGGAGGCTAGGGTGGAGGGAAAATTTGAATTAAGGATGTTTGAATTAGAGAATTTTTTTTGTTTTTGTAAAAACCCACAAAAGGGGCCTACGCGATTAATAAAAAAAAGGATTACAAGTCCTTAAGGGGATTACTAGCTCGCTACTGCTCGAAAGAGCTACAAAAAGAAAAGCAAAAAACCTAAGAGCCATCGATCCCCACTAAGCATGAGTACAAAACAACCTAATAACATTCTAAGAAAAAGAATGGAATCGGAAAAAGAAACAACATTCAGCAAAGCCTTTCCCATCCGAAGAGGACCCCGCACAAAACGAGCACTAGTCTACAAAAACGTGTAAAAAAGGCTGCAGGGACACTCAAGAAAGCGATGATCAAAACCCAAATAAAATTAACACAATGAAATCATACTAAAGAAATAGCTCTTACTATCGATAAGCAAAAGATTAAGCAATATGTTATGCCGCTTGACAGTACAAATACAACTATTGAGACGGAGCATTGAGTTACACACAGTATAAGCCATACTAAATAAAAGTTTAAAGAGGAATAGTTGAAAAAGCAATTTAGATCCATCCATCGCAATGGAACATAGCGCCTGGAAGGCCCGGCCAAATCACACAATAGCCAGTACCACAGAAAGCAGTCAGCAAAAGGCCCGTATGAAACGATCCACCACAATAAAAACAACCAAAGGGATAGGCGATTAGAACTTAGGAAGTTTCAAACCAAACAAACATAAATTAGGTAACCCAAGTGAGCTCGATCCTACCACCATAACCAATCAGCCACAACCGAGAACTCAGGACACTTCTAGAATAACAAAGGTAATCAGAATAATGCCAAAGAATAGACGAAACACAGAAAGGCAAAAACCTTGGAGGAGTACCAACCCAGCATGGTTTATTTAGGGTTATGCCGCTTGAATTAGGGAATTGATATATTAATAGTATGGTTTATTTAAGGTTAGGGTTATGCATGCTTTGAGTTGTTCTCTTGAAGTTTTCTTTGGCGTCTTGGGCTTTAGATTCATCGTCTAGAGATTGGGAAAGAACGATCCTCCTTTAGAATTGAGGATCAATTGCATCTTGCTTTGAGTTTGCTTTTGCTTTGATTCCATTATTATAGAATATCATTTTGGATCGATTTCATCAAGATCTTCGCATTATTTCCACTGCTTTTATCAATTGTTGTTCTCTTGGAGTTTTCTTTGGCGTCTTGGGCTTTAGATTCATCGTCTAGAGATTGGGAAAGAACGATCCTCCTTTAGAATTGAGGATCAGTTGTGTCTTGCTTTGGGTTTGCTTTGGCTTTGATTCCATTATTATAGAATATCATTTTGTATTGATTTCATCAAGATCTTCGCATTATTTCCGCTGCTTTTATCAATTATTGCTAGGGTTGCTTGCAAACTCAAGTATTTCCTCTTGGATTACTTGCGAACTCAAGTATTTCCTATCAAATTTCTACAATCCCTTTTGTTAGCACCAATGTTTAAAATTGCGTAATTGGGTATTGAGGTTTTTTTCGTTCGTGAGGCGAGGCGTAAGCCTCAAGGCATTTTGAGGCGTAAACCTCAAAATTAAAAGATTGCAAAAACATAAAATGATAAAAATTTTATATACTAATGAGTGAATAATATAAACCATAAAAAAGCACAAGATATGAAGTGAAATCAAAATATTCCAATAATAAGACAAAATGAAATATAGTTCAATTCAAAATTCTATCTTTCTCAAATCACAGTATTCTTTTCATTAACATATAATTCCAAAAATAAATAGCAATGACATATCACATAAAAACTCATAAGTCATCAGCACTGTCATCACTAAAGGGGTCTTCATTTGAATCATCATTATAATGAATTGCTCTCTCCCCTTCCTCCTCTCCTATAGAGTCCAATGTCTCCCAATCAGCTTCCTCAAT